ATTATATCGTTAAAAATTATTTTTAAATTATTTTATTGCTCACAAAACAAACAACCACTCATAATTAGAAAATTAAGTCTCGTTTAAATACTGGCTGCCCTTTAATGGTCCAGTCATGTTGCCAGCTAAAAACACGCAAAAATTTAACAAAAATAATATTAAAGTAGCCAAGACATAGCCAAATATTGTAGTGCCACATCACTAGCGGACATTTGAAATTTGCCAACTAGAACGGTCGGTTAACCGATGTGAAGTTTATCGGGGGTCGGATAATCGATACTCTACTGCAATAATAATAATAATAATCCTTTCTATGGCCATTGCACTGCAGTTAACTTTTAATATAATTATTCACTTTTGTATGACATCATGCTTACATTAAAATAAAGCGTAAATAGTATATATAGCTATAATAATAATTAATGTATTTTTTGCCCATTCATATGTTAAGCAATCAGTTGTTATTATACTTCTATCTTTGAAATATGATAATTCAATAGAATATTGACTAAATTATAATGCAACCTTACACTTTGGGCCAGAAGTCTGTTTTATATCAAGTTCCAAGTTTAATTATACATTATCATTCTGAGGACAAGTCTTTGAAACAAATTTAAAAACTAGTTATGAAAACTCATTCGATTGGCCAAACAATCTAAAAGAATTATAAAAATACTGGTTTGAGCTCTTCAGAACATCCAAAAATCTTTTCTGCCCATGAAAAAATATGATTGTTGATAAGAAAAGAAGTAAATCTGAATTTGAGTGCACCCTAAATAACTGCTGAAATATTAGAGAAAATTAGAAAAGCATGTGTTCCATTTTTTTTTTAAATTTTGAAACAAAATATATCAATGCCATTTCCCCCCCCCCGGTTTTTCACCAGGGGAGAAAAAAAATCAGAATTTGCAAAATTACACTTAAAATACAACACAAAAATTTAGTCCAAGGTAATTTTTAACAACAAAGCAAGTTTAAAGTATTAATATTTCATAATAATGGATATATAGAAGTATGGAGGAAGCCTAACACAACATTAGAAAAATGTACCATTAAATGTGGAAGAGAAAATGTTTCAATATAGGAGTGTATGTTTGTAGCTAGAGTAAGGAACCTAGTTTTTATTGAATCTACAACAAACAGATTTGATTTAAATAAATTAAGTTACAATTTTCAAAATAATGCTCAAAAGTTGAAAGGGTTATGAATAAACTAGTAGCCTGGGACGCCCCATAGTGGGCGTTATTTACAAATTTCCATGAGGCACGGTTCCTTTGACTTTTTTGTTCCTATTAATATGCTGTACAGCTCTGTTAAAGTCCCAATGGTAAGATTTACCCTCCGAATGAAGAGGTGGCGACCCCCAAACTGTAGCCCCTGTGCGAACAATAAAGTCAAAGGAACCATACCCCTACTCGCAACCCTTCACTAGATATAAGCCCCTGAAATAATAAATTCCTATTACAAAAATATACTGAATTATTTATACTGTTATATTGACCAAATAATAATTTATGGGCCAAATGAATAATAATAATTAAAATTGTTAATTTGAGTGTTTGAAATATGACACACGATAGGGACGCCTCTAGTGTCCGTTATCAAACGGTTATGCAGACAGACACCCGTTGAATGGGTTATATATATAGATATTGACCAAATAATAATTTATTGGCCAAATGAATAATAATAATTCATATTGTTAATTTAAATAAGAATTAAAATTGTTAATTTGAATGTTTGAAATATGACACACGATAGGGGTGCCTCTAGTGTCTGTTATCAAACGGTTAAGGGATGGACACCCGTTGAATGGGTTATATATATAGAAATGTATCATTTTTCATACATTTTCATTTGTAAGAAAAGTGCAATAATTCTTATTTTTTAACTTTTTTTTCCATTTTATTTAGTAAATCATGCATTAAACCATTTAACACATTTCTGATTATAAAAATAATTTTAACACTATTTAATTGTCAATTATAACAGTAACATAAGTAACAGCTTTAATCATAAAGAAATATGCATTTTATTACTATTACAGAACTAAACAATGTATTTAAGTTTTTCAAAGATTGCTGTTGTAAATTGCTAATTTCAAAGAAAAAAAGGCTATTATAAATATAGTTTATTTCACACATTAAGTAATTTTGGTAACTTAATTTTGGAGTGAACATTTATATTACTTTATTAAATATAAATGTTCACTCCACTACACATTGGTACTATTTCCAAAAAAGCCAAAGTCAATTTCAATTTCTTTGAGCAAAAGAAAAATTTTTATATTACAGTGATTAAAACAACATGGGGTTTCTAGAAAACCATCTGTAAAAGCTCATTATTAATTTAAAGTCAGGGTATCAACACTCTATTGTCTGGAGTAAATAACATGTGCAATCACAAAAGCACAAAATCAATCATCATAAGTGATAATACATGTTTGACTGTAATAGATTTGGAAAACTTGTTTGACTTTTATGGATTTGGATATTTAAACACACATTATATAATTTTTAATTATTTATATGTTATTTAAATACATTTCAGTTTATAATTAAAATATATACATGTAGAAATGTCTCAATTACACATAACATTAAGAAAAAAAAAAAAAAAAAAAACAAACAAACAAACAAACAAACAAACACAAAGTTTCAAAAATGTCTCCATAAAGTATGAAGCCTGATCTTTGATTTTACCAAATATATGACATCTCATAATCATAAATAAGCAAAATTCAGCTGCCAATATTTGACAATTCAAAAGTTACAGTTCATTAACTGCTTTAGTAGCATTGTTCACATTCTTTACAATGCAACAAGATGGCGTTTGAAGCTTCATTCAACTCATTAATGTTAAAATAAATATCAATCTATCTCTACTTTGACTAAATATGAATAATTTATTTTGGAAAGTCATGTTACATTCAGTTATTTTCAATTATTTCACACTTTATGTGAAAGGATAGGCTCAGATCAATCTGATCAGACAAAGTGTTTACAACTAACATATCAGTGAATCACTGATCAAACACTTTGCCACAATACTAATAGCATTTTATCTGGCCTACAAACTGACATAGATCAGATGTTACAATGTTTCATCTGATCCACTATCATCCTTGAGAGTTTTATCAAAACACAAAATAAAATGGTGCCTGCAAAGGTATTAAATCTCTTATGCTCAGAAAAAAGTTGTGAAAAGTCCAATACAGAAGGGATGAAGGTAAGTTCTGATGAAGATTGAACTTTAAACCATATTTTTTAGAAATTTTAGAAAAGTGTTTTTAAAAATATTTCTGTTGGATGGAACACTTTAATTTGTAAAAATAAAACCATTATTTCAATGATATATTATGTCTGGATTTTTCTGAAATGGTACCACTATGCACTAACTGAATGGTAAGGCAGTAAAGGCATCAGTCTAGTGCTCTATGGATCTGAGATCAAATCCAGGTAGTCAAAAATCCCCAGGAATTTGTTTTTTGAGTAATGGACCATCCAAGATTTGTTGGGTCCCATCAAAGCTGACCCAGCTTCCCCACTATGGGCCTGACCAAACCTAGAATAGCCTGTCTCACACAGCAGAAAGAATAAAAAAAATGTTCAGAGGGCATGATCTGAAAATTTCTATAAGCAAATTTTTTCAATAGGAATAATTTTATTAAAATGTAATATACAGTAGAAAAGCCTGAGTTTAGCTCTGAGTATTCATGAGACTGGAGACTTTCTGCTGAGGACAGATGTCTGCTTAAATCAAACATCTGTTAAAAATTGCAATATATTTTACAACACTTGACACATTTTCAACAGTCAATACATTATTCTGTTTTGTAAAAAACTGTTTAATAAGAATAGAAATCAGAAACAACTGTTAAAATTTAAAGGACTATTTTTACATAATAATTCATTTAATTTGGCATTATAAGTGATAATATCACTTTGTACTAAATTTAATAATTAAAAATTAAAGATTGATTACTTTAGAAAAACACTAGAACAAAAATTATTATTAACCTCTTTCATCATTTTCTTTTTTGTATTTTTTTTTTAATATAAGCAATTCCTAAGTACTTACCCATTCTCTGTTTATTTTACTCTTCTCTTGATCTAATTCTTTTCCTATTGTTGTTAATAATCTACATAGACACTCTAGAGAATCCTCATCTCCTTGATTATGTAACAATTTCTTAATGCAATCATGCATAATTGGTGATGTTAGCATATTTAATTTGAATAATTCACCAATAAACCTAAAAAGCAGTAAATAATTTGATTTATTTCGGCTGTAGACTATATAACATACTATTCACAATAATTATCCTTCATTGTTTTTAAATTTTAAATCAACTTAATTTAACAACCATTAAATATTATACATCAAATAACTNGTTAGGCTTAACATCGACGAAAATTCAACGCAAAGCGACACACAACGGAGAAAAATCTCAACATCGGATACGTTAAACTATTTTTTCGTACATAAATCGGTTATCCGAAATATCAGTTATACGAACAACCCCAGTCCCCAATTGATTCGGAAAATCAACGCTCTACTGTATTTATATACGAAATTATACCCCAACTTACACGGTTACCGCTCGGTCCCACCTATCGCGTAAGTTCAAGGTATTACTGTATTTAAGTCATCCTGCATAGCATAACTGTGGCAAAGTATGACATATATAAATAGTAACACACAAAAATGTTGAGAAAGGATTACTGTATAAATTTGAAGAATTGGGTGCATATGATAAATGATCAATCAATAATTGTCTCATATTATCTAAATAATATTTACAATAATTTTATTTTAAATAATTAATAATAATATGATTAATCAAACAATAATATTTTTATTGAAAAGTTGGTCTAGTTAGAGGTTACATTATAGCCTACTAAGGGCATACATTTGGGGAATTCATTAGAATATGAATTGCAACTTCACATATAAGATATAAGGTGATTTTTTTTTAGCCTTTTTTGGACAAAAGTTGTATTTTATATGCCATAAAATACAGTACAGTATTTTTAAAATATATTTTTATCCAGAAATAATTTTGGCTATATTAAATTCATCAATCGTATGCTACACGATAACCAAATAGTTAATAGTTAGAAAAATAACTTTTATTACTCAGAAATAATTTAATTAATAAATTACTTTTAATGTAAACACATCTTTTTAAGAAATTTAATTTAACTTAAAAATTACATAGAATTATAATTATTTTTTCACATAACAAATTAACATAGAAGATAACAATTTTCAGTGAAATATTTTAAGTACTACAATGTGTCAATCTTTAAAACATTGTAGTGCATAAAATTTTCATACAGTGCCACTATCCATGCAGTCAATTAAATTTAGATAGATAGATGTATCATCTATCTATTTTAAAAAATTAACTAAACAAAAAAACTTTTTTTTTAAAAACTAACTATTGATTTGCTTACATTATTTTAAATTAATATATAATATTAATGTTGTTGTTATATTAATTAATATTAATCAGTATATTAATGGTATTTTCATCTGAAATCGACAAAAATTTAATATTAATTTCTTAATAAAATAATAATCTCTATAAGCTAATAATAATTTTATAAAGAAATTCAGCAAAATAGCCTGATTCAATGCATATTTAAATATACTTTACATAATAAATTTATGAAATTAAAAAACAAAATATTGAATTCTGTATATAAAATAATTTAACAAACCTTGATCATTTACTTCTTTTGGTTGATTATTTTCTTGAATAGTAGTTTGTCTTTCTTCTGATGTTGATACCTTAGTTATGTCTTTTACTGCAGCAAGAACTTGTTCACGCTCTTTAAATGAAGTGGGAGATGGTGTCTGTCTTATGGAAGTTGATGAATATTGATTTCCTCGACCTCTGCTGGAATCTCTGTTAGATGCCGATGGCCTAAAAAATTCAATTTTAATATAATTATTCAATACAATAAAATATGTAGTTTTACCAAATAAAACAATTATGTATCATTAAATGAAATATTAAGTATGACATTTAATAATAAAACTTTATGTCAAAGTCTGTTTCTCAAAAATTAAACATTTAAATTCAATTAATATTTAATACATATTTTTCTGTCATACCTATTTGTACCAGTAGACTTTGTTTCAGATTCTTGAGAGGGTAATTTATTTCCACCACTACTTCCTCTTCCCCAATTAGAAAATCCTCTTCCTCCTGGACCAAACTGTAGATTTTCTACCTCTGTAGATAACTACAATGTAAAACATTAGTTATATAATGCTTCAAAGAATATTTAAAAATTAAATTTTATTAATAAAATTGTAAAATAATTTAGTTCAAAATAATAATAATAATAATAATTAAATATGAGCAATTTGACATATATAAAACACATTCTAGTTTCAGAGACATTAAAATTTTTAAAAGAATGTAATTAAAAATGCATATTAGACTAAAAAAATAAGTATTTTCTACATTAAAAATTTCAAACTTCCAATTTTTTAAACAAGCCTCATTGAATTTATTATTACAAATTAAATGATTTTCAGATACTTTAATTAATAAACAAGCCTTTTCATTTATTAAAAAAAATTCAGTTCATAACAGATAAAACAATTTATAAAATGTTGGTATAATTTACCTTCGTTATTTTTATTTTACTAGGATCAACAAAGTTCCGACTTTGTTTGTTTACAGGAGTCCATTCTTCTGAATAAGGATTACCAGTTCTACCTAATATATGCAAATAAGATTAGTATAGAAAATAAATTTATAGAAAGTTAATAATTTAATCTATTATTAAGTAATTTAAAATTTTTAATGCGAATTTACTTTTCCTTCTTTCCCTATCATCAGATCTTTTTGGTGGTGCAGCATGCTGCAGTAATAACTGTTGTTCTTGTGCTTCTTTTTCCGCTTCACGATGAATCTGATCTATAGTTTTTGGATTATTTTCATCACGTCTTGGAACCCAATTTCTCTGAAATAAGAAATTAGCAAATAAGTTCAATAATTAATATTTATTAATATTTTTAAAAAGGAAAAATATTTTAGGAATATAAAATTATTAAAAGGAAAAATTACCTTCCTTAGTTCAATAACATCTTGTAACATAAATCTCACTCTAGAATTTGTTCTTCTTTCATTAACAATTTTTTGCATGGATTCAAAATAGGAATCCATCTAAAATTGAAAAAATAAAATTATTATTCTAATTATTTGATGTTCATATAACTTTTTATTTAAAATTATTGAGCAAATACCTAATATTAAGCTTTTATTAACAACACATCTTTCACAATAATATCTTTAATAAAATCAATAAAAAATGTTATAAAATGTTGAGGACATTAACAAATTAAAATCAAACTGAGATCTATACTCAACATTACACATTTTTTTTTTATCAGTTGGTTTATTAAACATACAGATAAATATATTTTTTTATTTATCAAATATAAAAAGTTAATTTCAAATAAAATTAAATAATCTATATTATAATTAATAGTAGTAATAAAATTATATTTTACAACATTAACATAAATTTATGATTTATTTAAAAACAAAATTCTCCTTTTTTTCACAGTACAGGAAAATTTAATGTGACAAAGTTTACAGAGGTTGAAACTATATATTATTGCCATGTTAGTAAAATAAATTTTAACAAGAATAAATTCAAATAAAGTTACAAACATCTTAGATGTGCACTAATATCTAATATCTGTATTTTTTTAATAGCATTATGATAAATATAAGAAAAGATATATTGACTGATATATCTGCTTCCAATAGAATTCAGCTTGAGAGAACATGGTATTTTGGTATTATGCTTTTCATGCATAGTCTTTATGTTGCATTTCAACCATATTTGTTTGATTTTGTACTTTTAATACTATACTTTTTTTAGCTCGAAACATCAATGGTTTTCACATGTGTATCAATCAAATACAGTAGAGCATTGATTATCCGACTCAATTGGGGACTCAGATTGGTCAGATAACTGAAAAATTGGATAACCGAAAAAAATGAAAAAAATACATTACAGTGGGTGATCGGTTAACGAACATAATCTGTTCCAAGACTTTGTTTGCTATCCGAATTGTTTGTTATCCGATTATCGATTTACCATAGGTTTTAATGGGAATTTAATTAATTCGTTCTGGAGACCTCCCCAAAATAAAAAAATATATATACTTTCTTACTATGTTTATTTATATGTAATAATAAATATACATACATACACAGTCTTGCGTTTTTATTAGTCATGTTTTTTCCATTTGAAAGGGTTAAAGAATCTGTCTAATGTCGATTGCTTTTCTCTCATCTTCAGGATTTTTCGTAAGTAATTAATAGCATTGCAATTGTAGAAATCCCCAAGCCTCAACTTGGTTTGGATGCCATTCTAAGACCGTTGTTCTGACATCCTCACATTTCTTCAAAAAAATCTTTAATAACAGATATCGGCATTAATCCTCTTTTTCAGAAGAAAACATATCTCGCCGAGTTTCTTGGTGTTCAAGAGTTCATGGCATTCTTCTGTCGTCAGATCCGTTTCAGGTTCCATTATGAACTCTTCGATGTTCTATATTTCTCAAATGTGATTTTTGTTACTCCTTTAGCTGCCTGAGTCTTCTTGATTATACAGTATTTTTCTTAAAAAAATGAACTGCGGCCTACTGTAGACCTGTTCACGCCATACTGCCCAGCAACATTAGGCATCTTCTGCCTACTCTTTACCTTTGCTATTATACTCTCACCTTACAAAAAAAAAAAAAAAAAACAGAAAAAAAATTGTATGAAGACGTAGATAATATAACTCGGGTGGCATTTAACCTTGTTTTCATTTAAATGGCCTGACACCTAGATGGCGTTTAAAATGACGACACCAATGATGTTGCGTCAAAGTGCCGCCATCTTGCGCTAATGTAATTAGTTATGTTAATAGATAGTCAATGGTAACTGCGTCATTTTGCAGATGAGTACTGAATTTAGTCGGATGGAGTCGACTGTGGTACGTATTAATATATTGCTTTAAAATAGAAAGTTGTATAATGCCTCTGAGACTTTAGCTTTGGGCGTGGTTTCTATATTATCTAGATTTTTATTGTTGATAAAAATATTTTAAAAGATAATTTGTTTAAATTGAATAATGAATGTTTGTAGATTCGACACACTAAAATTTTAATCATTAATTTACAACTTAAATCATTAATAGATTCATTTGTTTTATGCGCACGATATTTGTTTCCTGCTACATATTTTACATACAAATTGATAATTTATATTAAAAAAAAGAAAATAAACAATTTGCACGAAATTAAATTCGATTTTAATATTAAAATTCCGTCTTGCTTATAACCGAAAATCTCATTTGCATTCAGTTTAATTACTAAGATTCGCCATTGCAAAAGCATTATATAATCTGATAAGGTGTAATATTTAACATCCAGTATTTTAAAGATGAAACGTGGAATTAATACTTAAATAATTACATATATAGTTAAATTACAATTATATTAACGTCCTATTTTCTCATTTCTTCTATCTAGTAACAGGAAATGAGTCTGCTATCTAAATCTTCGTTCTAATTCAGTGATTTCTAGATAACGGATTGACCAAGCTTCCAATGATTGCCAGATTGAAATTATTTATATCAATAAGCAGTGATTTTAATAATATGACCATTCTGGAAATGATTTTAATTATGAGAAAATTAACAAAAATAATATATAATTAACATACTAATGCTTTTATTTCAGACTTGCTTGCCTATAAAGCTATAATTTTATGGCAGATTTCTATTGATAGATATAATTTAAGACTCGTTTATGTTTGCTTTCTTTACAATAATGCTTAGAAATTAATCTGATATTGCAGGTCTTAACCTCCAGCATTTAGTTTTATACTACTTTTTTCTATAAAAAAATAAGTTCTATGATTAGAAAATCAATTAAAGTTGTCAGCTTGCACATTCAATAATAAAATACGATGCTTAAACACGATTCCATTTATATAGAAAAGGCCATTTCTATTCCCGACTTATTCTTCTATAATGTGTTTCGGATAAGATAAGTTTACATTCGTTTTATTACTTAATATATTTTTCCCCTTTCAAAATATTTATTTAAATAAAGAAATGCGAGTGGAAATTGAAAATATGACTTTCATTTCGGAATTAAATTTATGTCAGAATAATTCAAAAGACTTATGAATGATGTTTACTAAGGTTTAAGTCGTGGACCTAAGTAATTCTTCATCCTTATCTTTATCTCCGGATGATAGCTTTATGGAATAATGGGCCAATGTTTAACAGGGAATCTACTTTATCTAGTTTTTTAGATTATAGGTAACACTCAAGAACCCGGTAATGTGGCCAGCCAGTTGATATTAATTAAAAAGAACCGACTCGTCAGAATACTAAATTATGAAAATACTTCTTTTCTATTATTTCTCTCTTTACAAATGCTACTGCTACTGCCTAGTCAACATGCCATGAAAAATATTAGGCTTTTTACAACAAAAACTTAATATTTAGTATTGTTTCTTTGTATTTAAGTAGCAAAATAACTGATTTTTTAGAAGCTTACGTTGATAGCTCGCTTGCTCTAATTTTCTGTAAAGTAGGTTATCTTTTCTCGATCAGATTGAGCTAAATTTAATTATTGATCGTTAAATCAATTTTATTAATTCATTAATTATAGTCGAATGGAATTAGTTATATACAGTATGTAATTAACGTTAGGATTTAATGAAAAGTACCAAAATCATAAATTGTTTTATGAAAGTTTTATAAGATAAAGTTTAACGAAGTCTTAAAAATCGTATTGTGATTTTATTGAGCTTTTTGACCATAATATTTATATAAAACTTATTGCTTTATAGTTTCCATGCATTGACTAGACCAAAGTAAATGGTTTAAGTTAATCTAATTAGCTAAATCGCCTATAAGTGACTATCCGAATTTGTAATTTATATTTATAATCGATTATATTGATTAACACGCTATTAAGTTTATAGGTTAATGATTGTGTTATAAAATCCAATTATTCTAGTAGATCCAATGAATAATAATATAGGTTATATCAACTTACGACTTTTTCCCCCGATTAAGCTAAAATTTTCCGTTGTATCGAGAGGGAAATTTGAATTTAAAAGAAAATTCCAGTCTAAGAAATCTTCAAATTATTTTATTAAACTTGATTATTGTTGGGTAGATTAAAGATGAAGTCAGTTGAACAGAGAATTAACCAACCATGCCTTACAGGATAGGAAATTGCTTCGGTGAGCAAAGAAATGCGTGAGGGTAATGTCAAATAGCTGTTTTATCTGCTATTAAAATGCAGGAGTGATGAATGACACTCTCTTCTTCTTCTTAACGAGGTCATTGGAATTTAGTTTCACGTTATATTACATACTGTATTCTTTCAAACACTGTTTGTGTCATAGGCAATTGTTCCAAAAGTTTTGTAGAATTGTAAATTTTATTAAGCTAGTGACAAATATATATATATATAATTTAACTCCTATTTTACTATATATTAAACATTATGATCGAAGTTAAAGTAATTTCCATAAATTAGAAAACTTTTTAAAAAGTACTAAATTTTTGAATAAAATTTTATTCTAGTTTAGCCTCGTATATTAAATATTAAAAAANATTCCTATTAATTGCTTCTCTCCCATTGGCTTAATTCTGTTGGTCATTACTGGCCATGCTTGACATGTGAAGTTTTCTGGGTTTCCTTCACATTTTTACTCCCAAATGGGGTCAAGCATCCCCTCAAAGTCCTCCCAGTAGGCACTCCACTGGTTTGCTGCCTTGTGCAACAACCCAGTATCCCATCCCAAATTACAAAACTATTCTAATTCTGTTGGACTTGGCCATCTGTGGTTTTACCATTGCTACTTTCTTTTCCTCAGTGGCTCTGGAAAAGCCAGAAAATGTTAGGTTAGGCTATGTTAGCCAATAACAATCTAAAACTATACTATCTATCATTGAACTATTTCTAGCCTTCTCACTTTCAAGCAACAACCAGCTTCGGCTAACTTAAAATATTAAATTATATTTTTCATTAATCAATACTTTAACAAAGTTTTTAAATATAAAAATATGGTGTAAACACATAAATTTAACACCTGGTTGATAAACCTAATGAAATAAAATTAACCTGAGCAACCATTTAATGATAAAATTCGTATACTTAGCATTTAAAACTGTCACCTGAACATTAGCTTTAAATTTAATTACAGGCTTTTGCCTTGTACGCATTTAGCCTAAGCTGGTAGCACTCTAACTTACCAGTGCTAACCTCAGCACTGCTCTTACCTTACAACTAATACTTACTAATATAATCAATTTTGGTAAATTCATACAGACTACACTAAATACGTAAAGCATATGAGCCCTCACATAGGGACTAGTTAAATTTCTATGAGCCCTCACATAGGGACTAGTTAATACAATATGAGCCCTCCTGGGACAATTACACTTCACTAAATAGCTCTCCTGGCCCCTTAGTGCTCTCTGAGCGGGAAGGGGCCAACAGTTTCTTGACCTAAACTGTCGCGGAGAACAAAAAAAAAAAAAAAAAAAAAAAAAAACAAACAAACAAACAAACAAACAAACACAAAGTTTCAAAAATGTCTCCATAAAGTATGAAGCCTGATCTTTGATTTTACCAAATATATGACATCTCATAATCATAAATAAGCAAAATTCAGCTGCCAATATTTGACAATTCAAAAGTTACAGTTCATTAACTGCTTTAGTAGCATTGTTCACATTCTTTACAATGCAACAAGATGGCGTTTGAAGCTTCATTCAACTCATTAATGTTAAAATAAATATCAATCTATCTCTACTTTGACTAAATATGAATAATTTATTTTGGAAAGTCATGTTACATTCAGTTATTTTCAATTATTTCACACTTTATGTGAAAGGATAGGCTCAGATCAATCTGATCAGACAAAGTGTTTACAACTAACATATCAGTGAATCACTGATCAAACACTTTGCCACAATACTAATAGCATTTTATCTGGCCTACAAACTGACATAGATCAGATGTTACAATGTTTCATCTGATCCACTATCATCCTTGAGAGTTTTATCAAAACACAAAATAAAATGGTGCCTGCAAAGGTATTAAATCTCTTATGCTCAGAAAAAAGTTGTGAAAAGTCCAATACAGAAGGGATGAAGGTAAGTTCTGATGAAGATTGAACTTTAAACCATATTTTTTAGAAATTTTAGAAAAGTGTTTTTAAAAATATTTCTGTTGGATGGAACACTTTAATTTGTAAAAATAAAACCATTATTTCAATGATATATTATGTCTGGATTTTTCTGAAATGGTACCACTATGCACTAACTGAATGGTAAGGCAGTAAAGGCATCAGTCTAGTGCTCTATGGATCTGAGATCAAATCCAGGTAGTCAAAAATCCCCAGGAATTTGTTTTTTGAGTAATGGACCATCCAAGATTTGTTGGGTCCCATCAAAGCTGACCCAGCTTCCCCACTATGGGCCTGACCAAACCTAGAATAGCCTGTCTCACACAGCAGAAAGAATAAAAAAAATGTTCAGAGGGCATGATCTGAAAATTTCTATAAGCAAATTTTTTCAATAGGAATAATTTTATTAAAATGTAATATACAGTAGAAAAGCCTGAGTTTAGCTCTGAGTATTCATGAGACTGGAGACTTTCTGCTGAGGACAGATGTCTGCTTAAATCAAACATCTGTTAAAAATTGCAATATATTTTACAACACTTGACACATTTTCAACAGTCAATACATTATTCTGTTTTGTAAAAAACTGTTTAATAAGAATAGAAATCAGAAACAACTGTTAAAATTTAAAGGACTATTTTTACATAATAATTCATTTAATTTGGCATTATAAGTGATAATATCACTTTGTACTAAATTTAATAATTAAAAATTAAAGATTGATTACTTTAGAAAAACACTAGAACAAAAATTATTATTAACCTCTTTCATCATTTTCTTTTTTGTATTTTTTTTTTAATATAAGCAATTCCTAAGTACTTACCCATTCTCTGTTTATTTTACTCTTCTCTTGATCTAATTCTTTTCCTATTGTTGTTAATAATCTACATAGACACTCTAGAGAATCCTCATCTCCTTGATTATGTAACAATTTCTTAATGCAATCATGCATAATTGGTGATGTTAGCATATTTAATTTGAATAATTCACCAATAAACCTAAAAAGCAGTAAATAATTTGATTTATTTCGGCTGTAGACTATATAACATACTATTCACAATAATTATCCTTCATTGTTTTTAAATTTTAAATCAACTTAATTTAACAACCATTAAATATTATACATCAAATAACTTTATATTTTAAATTAAATTTTGTTTTTCTACAAGATTATAATATGGTATATCTTATAACATTAAATATTATTGCTATGTATTTTATAACATGATTTTTGTTTTTAAAATGATTTTATTATTATTATTATTATTAAGCTTTTCCATACAAAAATTAAAATATATTATTTGTTTGAATTAAATGAGTAAAGTATTAATAAAATTAAATTATATTAAAATTTAAATGAATAAAGACATTATTTTAATTAACTATTTCATTTCAACTATTAAAGGGATGATATTTTTAAAGGTGAGTATTTTTTTTTATATTAATAAATTTAAAATTTTACAATATTTTCTTGAATATTCTAGAAGAAGAGTATTTTAACATAAACAAGAAAAAAAGTATTTTTACATTCATGCAATTAACATAACTATACAACTAAGCATAGCTATACAAATAGTTAATAAATGTGTTCTAAAAAATATTACATTTATTTGTTTCATATCTCAATAATATATGAAAAACAGTTATAGAAAAATAATTTTATATAATGAAACAGATTACTGATATTTTGGACTACATATTCTATAAAAATAATAAATAGTGAATTCAGTATTTATTGAATCTTGAAAGAACTTGAATTCTACATGTTGGTTGCTACAAAAATGTATACAAGTAATACTTTATTGAAACACATTCAGAAAGCTTCAAACATTTCTTGGTGTTCATCTATTTGTAGTTTCCATATTCAGATTTGAATACTTTCAATTTTAAAATGTGCATAAGTCTATTCAGAATAACAATTCACTATTAAGCAGAATTTATGATTTACATAACTTTCCTATTAGTATGCTTAAATTTCACAACTTTTAAAATATAAAATATTTTTTCAATTAAATATTAATTTTGTTACATAACTTTTCAATTTCCCAAAATCACTGAGATAATTATAATTATTTACTACATTAAAATTTTGTTTTAATCATCTCTCATTTAAAGTTTTTATACAGTAAATCAGAGAAAAATAAAAAACATTCAGATAAATACATTGAATAACAAAGTTCACAAAAAAATTAAATATCAAAATTAGAGAAAAATATAAAAACTGATTTATTGAAAAACTATCAAGAATTAAACATATTGAAACAGTTATCACATGGTTGGGACATCTAGGCACTAAAAATGACAGGAACAACTATAAAAATCATGAAAGTCATTCCTTTCATGAGTTATATAAGTGATAGAAATTATTACTCACATAACTCAGGTAAGGTATAATTTATTACTCATAAAATTTTTATAACTATTTATATGATTTTTAGTGCCTATATGTTCTAACCTTAATTATCAGCTAATCACATTTTCAATTTAGTGCGATTGTGATCTGAATTTATTCAAATGGTTTTTTTCTGTCAACTTTTTTCATTAACATTTCATTCATAATGAGCTACTAGTTACCTGATATTGCCTAGTGATCTTCTCCTTGCTGTTCTTTCTTCTTCTTCTAATTCTTCTTGTAACTGTCTTTTTTTCTCATCCTATAAAATAAAAAAATTATCTGTTAACAAATTATTTCACATATATCTTGATGATGATGAAGCAAAGTACATTCAAATATTTGAATAAAGAAATAAAAAAATACTCATTTTTTATTTACAAATTCTGTTTGCAAATTCTTATAGATAAAATAAAACAATTAGTAATATTTAAAATTGGAAAAATTTACACAACAACTAAAAATAGAAATGATTTTACTAAACAAAATAGAAATTAAATGGCCAAAGAATAAATTTAATAGAATAAAAAATGACAAATTAGACAAAATAATAATCAGTTTATATAATTATTTGATAAGCAAATTAAAACTTACTGTTTCAGCATTATCAATTTCTTTTAATCGTTCTTCTCTTTTCACTTCATCATTTACATCTTTCTCAAACTCCCTCTGACATTTAGTTAATAATAATTTTCGAAAATTAACTTGTCCCTCTTGTCCTGCTAAAGGTACTTTCACCTAAAATAAAATAAAAAAAAAAAAAACAAAACTTACATATAAATTTGAATAAAGTAATAAAATATTTTCTCAAATAAGTTAGTACAAAACTATTAACTTCACAAAATTTCATATTTATTTCATTTATTAAAAGGCAACAATAATTTGCATACTTTATCAAAAATCATTATTACAATTTATTTTTATCTAGAAAATAATTTGTTTTTGGTGAATTTAAGAAAAATTTTCATAGTGTAACATACTATACATATCATAAATCTTCTAATAGACACATGGCCATATATTGGACAGAATATACTTAGCCTCCAGCATATATAAGAGACCCAGCACCTATTCCATTATCACAGAATTTCACATCCAAACTAGTGATAAAAAATCCTAGCTGTTATCAGTTTTCAGTGATACTTTCCTAGCTGTTATCAGTTTTTATTTTAAATATATGTGAACCACCGGTGAGGTTGGAAGTCTCCCGATCCAGCAACAGGTTGTTAAACCTTCTCACTGTCAAGATGGCTTAAAAATTTTTTCCTTTTATTTACCCCGCTGTAATGGGATTTAATGTTTCGGGTCGAGTGGAGAAGGGAGGAGTGCCGTAGGTAAGGTGACAGGCAATATACGAGTAAAAGAGGACACCAATTTAACAAAAAAATCAACGATTTATAGGGTACATCCATAGACGATACAATAACTATTATCAAGGGAAAATTCTGAGTCCCTAAAACGCGATGGACTGAGAGAGAGTTCACAAAAATTTGTTCCATACATCTTTCTGTATTTAAATATCCTTGAAGAAAAAATATATGATATCCAAAGGGTTCCAAAGGAAAAAATATATGATATCCAAAGGGAATTGGAAGGATAAGGACACAAAATTAGATAATATCTTGGAGGACAGGTACTTCGCTGGTTGATGAACAACTCCCCCGTGAGGGGGTAGCAAGTGGCTTTTATAGTTTCATCGTGGGAGAATAGTCACGTGATTACTTGTTGTGGGGTAAAAGGTACTCGGATGGGTCAAAGTTGTCCCCGGGACCATGCTAACTATCAACTTTGGAGTTGGAATGTGGAATTATTTTCTAAGTAGACGGATGTTTACTTTGAATGAAAGGGGGAGATTGGAATTTTTCTCTTTTTTAAGTTAGGTTTTAGCTTAGGATTTAAAGAAAAATTTAATTGAGGGTTGAGGAAAGTACAGGATATTAATCGGAAAAATCGGTAAAAATTCCGGATTTCACATATATAACTTTTATATTATTAAGCAAAATAAATAAAGTTGTATGTGGTGCCATCTCTTATGAGATTTTGTTATAAAAACTTTTTTAAAATGGCAAAAAGCTTAATTTTGAGAGTAGGGATGAGTTTTATGGAAAAGTATAAATGTTAATAATAAATAAAATCTGCATTAAGTCCTACTTCTCTTGAGATAAATCATATGAGCCCTCTATCTCCTCACTCCTTCAACCTTTAACCACCAAAATTTAATAGCAACAATGCCCCTCATATACAAGCCACCATGCCAAATTTTGTTTATTAATCTTTATCCCAAACTGAGATATTAAGTGAAGTAGATGCCAACACACACATCCACAGAACTTTTCTGTTGTTTTTTTGACTTTTTTTGTATTCAGGTCTCAAAACATGGAGAACAAAAAAACAATGGTTACAAAAAACTAGGAGAGTCAAAATCTGAAATGATTCCAATACTTTCCATTATTATGTATATGTTACCAGCCAAACCCGATTTCAGGCCAAATGGGTTTATCCTACGTGTCAGGATATACTAGTTTAGCCCAGGACAATCTAGTTTGGCCTAAATACTTTAGGCTTAACTAGTTTGACCTAGGCTGAACAAATTTATTCGTTGCAAGTGATAAAATAAACACGGTGGAACCTGTCAACACAGAGATTCACCTCTCGCGTCCCTTTCTATCATGTTTTTGTTGTCTATTCGCATTTTTCATGAACTATAGAGGGCACTGCATTTTTACAAAATGGTTACTTTATCTGGTTCGTTTGTAACTAGTAATGTAAAATTAATCATATATTACTGTCTGATATAATGATATATATCATAAAAATAGTAAACCTCTGAACCTTAAAAGTACAATTTCAGGATATTTTAATGCAAACACAAATGTTTTCTATCTACACAGGAGATCTTCCTCAGGTTAAAGCATTCTCAAATGAAATGCGGATATGGAACATTCTTAAGATTATTTGAAAAACATATAGACGAGAATTTTAAAAAAATTTTAAATATGAACTATATGATATATGCTGCTTATAGCTGATAATCGAGAAATTTTATAGAAAAAGAACAATTATTGTTAGTAGGACACGTCATTATGTGGTAATGAAACAAACAAGCGAGATTGTTCTATACATATTTGTGCTTTCTGTGTTAAAAAACATTGGCTCTGACATCCCCCACAAAATTACTGGCATTTTAAACTTTAAGGAAAAATCCTTTAAATTGACAGTATAACTTCTTCGTGTATAACTGGGCAATGGGGAAACTTTTGCCAATTCTTAAGTCTAATCCACTTTTTCAGAATTCGGAGAAGCTAATAAATATAGCCGACCGATTTTTGAATAATCATATATTTTTCATGTGAGAATAAACGAAAACTTATGTTGGGCTACCATATGGCTTTGAAATTTCAATTTGAAATGCAACAGAAAGCTTTTCTATTGCTATTCATCTTTACTGCTAATACACAAGAATGATTCAAATGACCCAGATAAAATAGTTTTATTTTTAATTAAACACCAGAGGGCGCGCCGGTGAAAAATGAGAATTCACTCATTACATGCAATTGTATTGTGACTTGTGTACCTATGTGCAATTTGTAAAGCTGTATTACAGTAGAGCATTGATTATCTGACTCAATTGGGGACTCAGGTTGGTCAGACAACTGAAAAAAATCGGATAACCGGAAAGAATGAAAAAAATACATTATTAGCATAGTATATTACTATATCCCATGTAATTAGAATATTAGTATATCGCTATTAACCAACTTCATGTTGAATTTTCATCGATGTTAAGCCTAACAATTTTTTTAAAAATAATAATCATTGCTATCGTTAAAAATTATTTTTAAATTATTTTATTGCTCACAAAACAAGCAACCACTTATAATTAGAAAATTAAGTCTCGTTTAAATACTGGCCTCTCTTCAATGGTCGAGTCGATGTTGCCAGCTAAAACACACAAAAATTTAATGAAAATAATATTAAAGTAGCCAAGACATAGCCAAATATTGTAGTGCCACATCACTGCAAACATTTGAAATTTGCCGATTAGAACAGTTGGTTAACCAATGTGACGATTAATCGGGGGTCGGATAATCGATGCTCTACTGTAATTTGAATTTTTGAACATACCAAGTTTAAAAGTTTTGTGTTGTTTTCATATTATTATTATGGATGAGCCATCGTCTAGTGTTCAAGTTGATCAGTTAAAATGGAGAGAGCAGTTTTTAAAAGAAATTTTGCAAAGTGAAAATATAAAATCTTCTCATTTTAATGTTTTAACAAAGGATAAATACTTAGATCTTATCCTACAAGTGGAAGAGACTGAAAAAGCTCAAATTAAGAAACCACTTCATCAAAGGCGATTAAAAAGGTTTGCAATTTTAAACATTGGTTCTGTTAAAAAACTCGTTGCCCGTAGTGAAGGGAACATAAAATACTTTATTCCTGCTGAGGAATTCCTCCTCAGCAGAACTACCTCCAACTCTGCCCTACAAGTGTTAGCACGAAAGCCTCCTATAGAACTACATATTCAGTTCTACAGCCAACTCAGCTGTCTAAAATGGGGAAATAACATCCATCTAACCAGAGATACAATTTTGACTTCGGAGTTTGAATCTGAAACCCCCTTTAGCTTGTCACCAAGTCTGAGTATACCTCCTATAAACATTATTTACGATACAGATTATAATGGCATTTTAATATTCACTGATGGATCGAAAAATGGCAGTAATGTTGGCTGCTCGTTCGTTGTCTTACTGAATAATAATGAAATACATCATAGCACTTTTAGACTTGGTGTATATACAACAATTTTCCAGGCAGAGTTATTTGCCATTCTTATGGCCCTGACATGGGCAAATACTCAGTACCAATCAAGTGATATTACAATTATCAGTGACAGTGCTTCTTCCTTAGCCGTCATTAACAGTTCACAATTACATCCTTTGTCTATACGTATTAAGAATCTGATAATGACTTCCAGTAACAAATATAGCCTGATGTGGACTAAGGCACATCACGGTTTGGGCAGGAATGAAAGAGCTGATGCATTAGCTAAAGCGGCTGCCAATAATTCGCAGCTAGAAATCTCTTATAACAAAGTCAGCTTGACCACTGTTAAAAGACTTTTGTGGAGAGAAGTCCTGGATATATGGCAAAACAAGTGGAACAGCAATAGGGAGAAAATAATCTATAAATTCTTTCCTAATATCAATGATATTTATAAATACCACTGGTTATCACAGTTTTTTACTGACCATGGAAAATTTGCTACATACCTATCAAGATTTGCCAGTCATAATACAACTTTATGCACTCACTGCAACATTACAGATGGCAGTGACCATTATATTTTTGATTGTGTATGTTTAGAAAAGGAAAGACAAGAAATTAAAATGATTTTGTCTGAGCGTGGTGTTGCATGGCCATGCAAACACAATGAATTAATAAATAATTATGAAACATTTTTATACTTTAATAACTTAGTAAGAAGATGCAGTAAAATCACCATGATCTGTACTAGATAAACTTATATTGGCTCGTTACATTTATCTGGCATTATATTGTTAATCCATGTGCGTACAGAGAGAGATTGCTCTGCCTTTTCATATAAACTTAATAATATAATAACTTAATTATGTGCAAGAATCTTTAATTTATTACTGCAATAACTGGTATAATATGATGTGTTGCAATTGACACTTATACATTACAAGGACATCTTATCAATCTGTTTTATAGTA